GTGGAGCTGAACTTCACCTCTGGGAAGAAGATGGTGCTCAAGGATGTGTTGCACACTCCAGAGATAAGGAATAATCTTGTTTCGGGATATCTTCTTAATAAGGCAGGGTTTAATCAATCTATTGGGGCAGACTTGTATACCCTTACTAAGAATGGGAGTTTTGTGGGACAGGGATATGCATGTAATGGGATGTTCAAGTTGAATGTCGAAATTAATAAGATGAATTCTTCAGTTTACATGGTGTGTGATTTGAATGTTTGGCATGCTCGTCTTTGTCATGTGAACACACGAATTGTGAAGAATTTAAGCAAGCTAGGACATATCCCTAAACTCTCAATGAATGAATTTGATAAATGTGATTTCTGTAGCCAAGCTAAAATAACGAAAACGCCCCATAAATCTGTGAGTAGAGAATGAGAACCCTTAGATCTGATTCGTTCTGATATTTGTGAACTAGATGGGACGTTAACTAGGTCTGGCAAGAGATACTTTATCACTTTCATAGATGATTGCTCTGATTATTGCTTTGTTTATTTGATGAAAAACAAAAGTGAAGCCCTTGATATGTTCAAGGTATTTGTGGTTGAATTTGAAAATCAGTGCAATCGAAAGATAAAAAGACTTAGGAGTGATAGATGGTCAGAGTATGACTCTAATCCCTTCAAGGAATTCTATAGCTCACATGGTATCATTCATGAAACCACGGCACCATATTCACCAGAAATGAATGGTAAAGCTGAGCGGAAAAATAGGACGTTTATAGAATTAGTTGTGGCTATTATGCTCAATTCTTGAGCTGCTTCTTCTTGGTGGGGTGATATTTTGTTGACAATTGATATGTGCTAAATCGTCTTCCAAAAATAATTAGAAAAGAATCAACCTATGAGATCTTGAAGAACAAGCCACCTAATCTGCCCTATTTAAGAACATGGGGCTGTTTGGCCTACGTAAGAATTCCGGATCCTAAGAGGATTAAGTTGGTTAGTCGAGCATATGAATGTGTCTTCGTTGGCTATGCGGCCAATAGCAAGGCATATAGATTCTATGATTTGAATGCTCGTACTATAGTAGAATCCATTGATGATGATTTCTTTGAGACACGATTTCCATTTAAAACGAGAAATAGTGGGGGTAATGTACTACCCGCTATTAGAGATAACGGAACTAGTGGGGGTGTTGGATCTGAGGATAAACTCAGAAGAAGTAAAAGAGCTAGAATCTCTAAAGATTTTGGTGATGACTTTATTACAGTATACACCCTCGAAGATCCAAAAAGTTTGCAGGAAGCATTAACTTCCATAGAGGAAGACTTTTGGAATGAGGCCGTTACAGATGAAATGGAATCGTTAGAAGCTAATAAGACTTGGCATCTAACAGACTTACCTCATGGATGCAAAGTCTTAGGTAATAAATGGGTTCTAAAAACGAAACGAAAACCTGATGGTGCAATCGAAAGGTTCCGTGCTCGCCTAGTAGTTAAGGATTACAAGCAGAGAGAGAATATAGATTTCTTCGACACCTATTCACCAGTATCAAGAATAACATCCATTCGTGTTATGATTGCTCTTGCTGCCTTAAACAATCTCGTGGTACACCAAATGGATGTTAAGACCTCTTTTTTGAACGGTGATCTGCATGAAGAAATCTATATGGAACAACCAGAAGGGTTTGTTATCCCCGAACATGCCTCGAAAGTCTGTAAGTTAGACAAATCATTATATGGTTTGAAACGGGCTCTAAAACAGGGGCATGAGAAGTTTGACACTCTCGTTCTCTGACATGGCTTTAAGGTGAATGAAAGTGACAAGTGTATTTACTGCAAGTCAGACAATAACACTTGCACTATCATATGTTTGTATGTAGATGACATGTTGATATTTGGTACAAATATTCACGTGGTCAATGAAGCAAAAGCCATGTTGAAAGAGAGCTTTGAGGTGAAAGATCTGGGAGAAGCAAAGTTTATGCTTGGAATCCAGATAACCAGAACAGCAAATGGTTATTCTCTAGATCAATCTAGCTACATAGAGAAGATCTTGAAGAAATATAACTATTTCGATTGTAAACCTGCGTGTACTCCGTATGATGCTAGTGTAAAGCTATTTAAGAACACTGGAGACAGTGTAAGACAATCAGAATATGCTAGCATTATTCGCAGTCTCCGTTATGCTGCGGATTACACTCAACTAGACATTGCATATGTCGTGGGATTGCTTGGCAGGTTCAACAGTTGTCCTAGTAGAGAGCCTTGGAATGCTATAGAGAGGGTCATGAGATACCTCAAGAGAACAACAAACCTTGGTATACATTATCAAAGGTTTCCTGTTGTACTAGAAGGGTATAGTGATGTGGATTGGAATACCCTATCAGATGACTCCAAGGCAACCAGCGGGTATGTTTTTAACATCGTTGATGGAGCTGTGTCTTGGAAGTCAAAGAAACAAACAATCCTAGCTCAATCAACTATGGAATTAGAGATGATAGCACTAGCAACGGCTAGTGAAGAAGCAAGTTGGTTGAGAGGATTGTTGTCAGAGATTCCCCTATGGGAAAGGTCGGTCCCTCCGGTATTGATCCATTGTGATAGTAGAACTCCTAACGATAGGAGCAGTGAGGGTGGATCATATAAGATCCGAACAGAATCTAGCTAATCCTTTGACGAAAGGATTACCTAGAGAGAAAGTCCAGAATACCGCCAAGGGTATGGGACTTATGCCTACCGAACCACGGACTACAAGTGATGGTAACCCGACCCAATAGACTGGAGATCCCAAGAAATGGGATCAATGGGTAATAACAAGTCATGAGTAGTATGCGAAAAGTTCATGCATAGAGAAGCATGAATCCCAAAGCAATGGAGGTTGAGTTAATAACTCTTAATGAGATCTATACCCTATGTGGGGTGGAGTACTTTACTTTGGGGGTACTCCTCATAGACTCACCTATATGAATGTGGGAGTGGGGCCGCTCCCTATGGAACTTTGGAGGCACAAAGTTGCTAGAGCGTTCACTAAACCAGGATAACGTGCATGGCCATAAACGCACGGGCTAAGAAGAGAACACAACTCAATGAAAAGATCTGGTGTGCTACATTGTCTGAGATAGGGTTCAAGACTACGAGTCACCCTTATGAAATCGGAAGTGTAACCACTACGCTAAGGTTCAAATCTTCCGATACCTTAGCTTATGCCCGATCTTATGGAACTGTTAATGCTCAGAGATAGTTTCAAAACTATTCAAGTGGGGGATTGTTGGAAATGTATGTATGAATAGCTTTGAAAGCTATAGAGTCTCAAGTGGAAAAACTACCGCATTGGTAGTTTTACTTGGTGAAATGTATATAAAGATATGAGCCTCTCTCCTAAGGGCATGCCCCTTGGGGTGACCCACTTTGGTGGGAGAGGGAGGACCTAACAGACCACCACACACGCGAGCGCGCCGTCCGTCCGACCGATCGATTGGTTGGTTGGTTGGTTGGTTGGTTCACTTGAGACTATATATATTTTTTGGAGAAATTCCGAACGAAATTAATTATCTAACAATTAATTATTAATCGGTTATTCTGAGGAATATTCTAAGGATAATCGATTAAAAAGGAATATTCGAAGGATAATCCCGCAGGATTTATCTTAACCGACGGTTTTAATTAAGGAAGTAATTATCGTCCTTAATTAATCCAACTTATTCCCCAAGCTAGAGGGTATATTCCTAGGGGTTCGGCTCCTATAAATAGCCGCCTCCCCAGCCCCTCTATAAACACCACAACGAGCATAAACACAATAGAGAGAGTGTTCAGAGAGCTCCGGTTTTCGCACAAAACCGCGAGTACAAAGAGGAGTTGTTTTATCCTGGAGACGACCGGTTGATAGTCTGTCGTGCGCATCGAGGGCAGTGCCGCGAACGTCTTAAAGAGAGCGACCTAGTCCGCGACTCAGCTCCAGATTCGGTAACCTCGTTCTTGTTGTTGTTCCGTTCCTAACAGAACCCTAATGCAACATCGCGCAATAGTTGAACTTTCTTCTCTGTCGTTACCGGTTTCGCAGACATATTGTCAACAAACTATCAAAACCAAAAGTGCAGAATTGTCGATGTGGGCGGCGTGGAAGACGCAATTCCCGAGGTATCCGGCAGGGAGCGGTGGATTGAGCCGATGTGGGCAGCGGCGAGGTCACGGGCTCTAGTGACGGCGCGCGAGATGTGGGCGGTTAGGATCTGGTAAGTGTTGTATTTCGCCTTGGTAACGTTGTCGCGGTTGATTTGGTCTCTCAGGCTGTTGATTTGGTCGGTGGTGATTTCGAGGATGGCCATGGAGGTGGCAGCGCCGTCGTGTCGGCGGCGGAAGGGGGAGGGGAGTGACGGTCGGTCAGCTTTCCGACTCCTGTTTCGATTCGGTTAGAAATGAGGTGGAAAATAGAAAAATTAAATTAAATTAATTTTATTATTTTTTAATTCGCACGTTGCATATTTAACGGTCAACTATAAAAGTTGACTGCCACATAAGCAAGAGTTAACGGAATTGGACGGAGAGTGACCAAACTTGAACCATTTAACTAATTTGAGTGATCAAGATTGGATTTAAATATTTTCAGTGACCAAATATGAACGTTTTTTGTAATCTCAGTAATCAACCATGTAATTAACCCCAAATCTTGTTATTTTTTCTCGATTTCTCAAGTAATATGACAAAAACTTCATTTGACATTGAAATTCGAATAAAACTTTTAGATAGTATAAAAAATTATATCCAGGGATGTGTAGGATTGTTCAGGAATGTGTGTGTGAATTTTTCCCGAACCACATATTGATTGATTTTGATATGACATAGTATATCCCAACACAATTTTGGTTACAAAGATTCTTACCATGATAAAACCATGACTTGATGATGGTATATAGGAAAATCGGCCCCACCTAAACCCATTGTCATCCCTATTTCAAACATGTCCCTATAATTATGGAAACTCCTTCATAACAACCTTTAGACAAGTATATCAACCTCCAAAATATATCAATTGCTGAATCATAAACAATGTAAAGGAACTGGAATTCCAAAATTGATGACGTCTGTGTCAACGACGTTTGTTTACAAAATAAGATCGACACACAACACAGCCAAGAGCCATTACATTTCATCAAGTTGCATTGTAAATACCAACCAACCACCATATCAATTATCGATCGGAGATCTGTTTATCCTTTTGATCATTTCACCCTATTGTAGATCAACCATCTACAGCTACCCTTAATTCTCACGGCAGCAAGCTTCAATGAGGGTGGAAATCCAAACAGAACAAGGATGTACAAAGAGGCACATAATATTACAACCACCATCGACATCTACATTCTACACACAGGATAGGCGCTCTGTTTTGCAGTTAAAGAATCGTATGGAACTTCAAAATGGTCTTTCCAGTCTATGATCCCCAATCTGGAATGTTTGCGGTGGCTTCATTCACCATTTTCACCAGTGTCACCTGTCCGAAGAGGTTCCCAAACAAATGCAGAATCATAAGCATATTATCGACCAAAGTCATGCACACCCCATGAACGCCCTCAGATCAAGCTATCACCACACCACCAACATTTTTACAGTTATCCATGTTCAGGCCAGCGGAGAAAACAAGGGATTAGGACTTAGGAGGTCTCATATTCTCATAACTGAATGCTTGGTAGTATGTATATTTAATCCACTACAACAGATAAGAAACTAAATCCACTTATCCATTTCTTACTTTGCTTCAATACCAATATATGATAATCTTGCATAAAATTCATAGGAGTGATAAGACTACCAAGAGAAAGATAAACATACCACGCTTTCTGGAACACCGGCGGGAGGCAGGGGAAGGTTTCTTGGAGGTGGAATTGTGTCATATGACCTTTTGTCAAACCTCCATTCACCAATTTTACCATAGGTTAACTTGCCCTGGTGGTAGGAAAAATGTCAGCATAAGAGCAATTAGTTCCTGAAACGATGAACTGTTAAGAGAGAATACATTTCTAGGAATATTTTACTTCACGACCAAATGAATGGATGGGATTACCTCCATGTCATAGTCACATCCATAAGTATAATGGATGATGAACTTTGTCCCAATTTCTGTATCCCATGGAGGCTGCAATGACAGAAAAGGATGCATGCATAACCTTGGTTATGAAGGCAACGACATTAAGAAGTACATTAAGAATCACAATAATCTCCAAGAAGTATAGCAAAGTATACCTGAAGCATGAAGTCCTTGTACAAGATATTGCCAACTCCATGCAAAGCAGATGAAACAGCATAAGCGTACCTATATAGAGATGAGAAAGTGTGAGATGCTGGGAGTAGGACTCATTATCTAATTAAAGCACACAACAATCTTACATTTCAAGCACCCAGCCGAAGGCTTTATCGCTCTCAGGATCTTTTTTCATTGCCAAAGATACATTCATCCAAGTGGGAGCTATCTTCTTAAGAGACTCCTGAAACAATGTACTTATGCATAAATAATCAATAATTTTTTCCCCAAGAATCAAATATAAAAACAACAGTACAAGGGAGAGGCAACAGAAGAGAGCACACAGACCTTTCCTATGATGACAGGGGAATTCCCTATAGGATCGATATTAGTAACTGATCCTTTTTCCTCAGGGAAGTACTTCCGCAATATTGTTTCATACTTCTTAGGCTCGATATAGAAGAAAGGAAACGCAGCTCCGAGCCCGTCTTTGCTCAAATTCGGTATGGGTTTCACAATAATGTGGTCAGGCTCCGACATCAATATATAACTGGTGCATATGGCAAAGAATGGCAGAGAAAAATGAAGGTCAAACCCAGTGAAACCCATCAAATAAACTCCATTGATCTCCAAAGTTAAAGTGTTCCCTACTCTTCTTTGATATCCGCTTTTTCAAGCCATTGCACAAATGCCCATGGTCTATTGAGTACGATATAACCCTGTACAAGAAAGAACATCAGCTGATACTAGTCTTTCAAAACAAGTTTCGCAAGCAGAGCAATTTCCATGCCGTAACTAATACACAAGTTTCGCAAGCAGAGCACATAACTAATACACAAATCCCTAACATTCCTTAATTCAGAACAAAGTACGAACAGTTGGTGGCCGCTAAAAGAGAGAACGAAACCCAAATGGAGGAAGCGACGGCCGAACCTGATCCATGCCGGAGGGAAGCGGCTGAGCAACGAAAGTGGGGATCTCATCCATGAACTTATCGGCCTTGCCGGAGTGCAATATCCTGGTAAACCCTCCCATATCGGAGTTGGGTCCTTCCCGGAACTTCTTGAACCAGTAGTACATCACCCGGCACTGCCAGGTGTTGTAGACGGAATCGGAGGAGGTCACGGCGGTGTGGAAGAGGCGCTTCTGGGTGATGGAAGAAGAACCGCCGAATTTCCTCGATCTGTCCTTGGGCATCTGGATGATTGGATCGATGGAGGAAACTGTGGACGGGCCGGGCAAGTCCTGCTTGAGAGGAGCATTGGCGGCGATTAGAACGTTGTAAGTGATTAGAGCTACCGAGAAGCTTATTAGAGCTGTGAAGAACAGATTCCCGCACCCCATTTTTGCCGGGGCTTTTCTTCACTTGGCGATCTCAGACCCAGTCGAATTCGTGGGTTTCTGTAACTTGCAGAGGTCGGGAGATGGAGACGATGGACGGCTTGAGGAAGTCGTCGATGGAGTTGTTGTTGGTGAGTAGTGGCCCACTAGCCAATTAGCTGTTGCATTTCTTCTCGCCATTTTTGTATTAATTTTCTCCCTTAGTAGATCATCGTCTTTCGCGTTTCAGACCATGTTATGAATTATGATACGATACTTAGATTCAAAATATATAAATAAAATACTCAGGCCGGTTAAATGATGGTAATTGAAATTTATTGGATAAATATAATTTATTAGTCAAATGTTGACAAAATGCAAGATCTCAACCTCCACCAATGGCGGAGCCTCAAGCACAAGTACCACCAAGCCAAGAACAATGGATTCTTACTCTAGGCCAAGTGTGTACAATGTTCAATCACATATTCTTCATCCGACGTTGCCTAACAATGATTATGAGATAAAGCAGAGCACAATTTCGATGCTTCAAGTGCGGTTCAATTCAATGGGATGATGAGTATGTTGGAAAGAGGGATTTGCTAAGAGAATAATTTGGAGATAATCAATCGTGATCTCCTTCTCTATTATCAGTTCTGTTTTATACACTATTACAAGAGGTTCGGTTGAGAGAAAGAATGGTAGTGTACAGAGTGGGGAGAATGTACAGGAAGAGAGGGCTAAAGAATAGGAACAGAAATAAAGAAAAGAATAAAAGAAATATTTTTCTTTTTCTCTAATACGCCCCCGCAAGATGGAGGAGGTGTCAACGACTCCAATCTTGGACCGTAACAGGAGAAACCGTGTGGAAGGCAGAGGCTTGGTGAGCATATCGGCGAGTTGATGGGCAGTGGGAATGTAGCGGACATGAAGGCGGCCATCTTGAACGAGCTGGCGCACAAAGTGGTAGTCTATAGACAAATGCTTCATTCGAGAGTGAAACAGTGGATTGGCACTGAAATACGTGGCCCCAAGATTATCGGAGAGGATTGTAGGTGACGAAGAGAGTGGTTGATGAAGCTCGTGCAAGAGATTCTGGACCCATTCCAACTCTGCAGCGGCATGTGCAATGGCCCGATACTCAGCCTCAGTACTGGAGCGAGCGACAGTGCGTTGTTTCTGAGAACGCCATGAGATGAGAGTGGGCCCTAAGTAAACCAGATAGGCCGAGCTGAAGGATCGATCATCAACGTTGCCCGCCCAGTCGGAGTCTGCAAACGCCGTGACCTGAAGAGGAAGGGAAGAGCGCCGGATAGCTAGACCATAGGAGATAGTGCCACAAACGTAGCGGAGAACACGCTTGAGGCACTGCCAATGATGAGAAGAGGGAGAGTGCATGTACTTAGACAACTTGTTGGCTGCGTAGGCTATGTCAGGACGTGTGTAGACAAGATATTGAAGAGCCCCAAGGAACTGACGATAGCGAGTGGCATCCGTGGGAGAAGTGTCATCCCGTAAGGAGAGAGTAACAGAGGAGGCAAGTGGTTTAGATACTGCCGCCGCATCCAACATATGAAACCGAGTGAGGATATCGACCATGTACTTGTGCTGCGATAGAATGAAGCCCGCCTCCGTAGGAATGACCTCAATGCCCAAAAAGTAATTAACGTCGCCCAACTCCTTGAGAGAGAACTGCTGGGCGAGAGCTTGTTGTAAGATGGAGAGAGTGTGAGCATCATTCCCCGTGAGCAGAAGATCATCAACATACACTAGGAAATAGAGGAGAATACCCGCGCGTTGATACACAAATAGAGGGGCATCAGACTGTGTCTTCTGAAAGCCAAAATCAAGTAAGAAAGAGCTGAGGGCGGTATACTATGCACGGGGAGCCTGTCGTAGACCGTAAATAGTGTGACGAAGTCTGCAAACGTGAGTAGGATATTTAGGATCAACAAAACCAGGAGGTTGAACCATGTATACCTCATCCGCAAGTGGCCCTTGAAGAAAGGCATTGTTGACATCAAACTGCTTAATGGCCCAATTCTGTGATAACGCAATGGATAAAACTGTACGAACTGTGACAGGTTTGACCACCGGACTGAAGGTGTCCTGAAAATCTACACCAGGGCGCTGATGAAAACCTTTGGCAACATGGCGGCACTTGAAGAGATTGATAGAGCCATCAGAATGATGCTTAATGCGGTAGACCCATTTGTTGCCCATAACATTGTAATGGGGAAGCCGTGGAACAAGATCCCAAGTGTGATTTCGCAGGAGAGCAGAATATTCTTTGTGAAGGGCAGCATCCCATTCGGAATATTGCATGGCCTCCCGGACAGAACGAGGCTCAAGCAAAGGAGTCAGGGTCGTCAAATTGGCCAGGAAAAGACGCTTGGGCTTGTAAATTCCCTCTTAAGCACGTGTAGTCATGCTGCGAGTGCAAACAAGTGGAGGAGGGGCACCACGCCGCTCAATAGAGGGCTGAGGCGAGCTGGGAGCCTGCTGGGCAAGCTGTGACGGCTCAAGGAAGGCTGCTGGGCTTTGGGAAGTTGGAGTAACGAGCCGGGTTCCGGTGGGCGCAGAAGGTCGGGGCGAGGAGGCCAGCTGGGCAGGTGAGGTCGGCCCAGGAAGGGCGGACGAGCCATGGGAGGCAGGAGGAACTGACGACGGCCCGGTTGCCACAGTGGGCTGGAGCGAGGAGGCCGGGTGTGCTGTCTGGGATGACCCAGGAAAGATGGATGGACCTGGGGAGGTCGCAGGAGGAAGCACAGGCCCGGTCGCTACAGGTGTGGCCGAGGTGGAAGAAGGCTTGGGCCCAGGCGGGGAAGAGCGGCCCATTGCTGACTGTCTGTGTGTAGGGGCCACGCACAGGGAGGTCGGGCCTGCTGGGGAGGGGGCAGAATGGGATGCCGAGCGAGTGGAAGCGTCAGGCAGGAGAATGGTTGTGACATTAGGCCCAACATCATATAGCCACGAATCCACCAGGGAGGAACCTGCAGGAGGATTAGAGAGATATCCAGGGAACGAATTCTCAACAAAGTGGACATGGAAGGAGAGGAAAACACGCTGTGTTTGGGGATCAAAACATTGATACGCACTGCGCTGAGGACAATAACCAACAAACAAGCAAGGACGGGAGCGAGGAGCAAGCTTATGGGATGAGTACGGACGAAGCCAGGGATAGCACAGACAGCCAAAAATGCGAAGCTTATGAAAAATGAGTGTAATGTTAAAGAGAGTGGTAAATGGAATTTGACCGCGCAATACAGAGGAAGGCATGCGATTAATCAAATAGACAGCAGTAGAAAAAGCATAAGACCAAAAAATCGCTGGTAAGTTGGCATGATGCAAGAGAGTGATACCCGTTTCCACAAGATGGCGATGTTTACGTTCAGCAAGACCATTATGCTCAGGAGTGTGTGGTGGAGTGAGAAGATGACTAATGCCATGAGTAATTAGTGTGGAGCACAATTTTTGGAATTCACCACCACCATCAGAATAAAGACGACGAATGGTGGTAGAGAAGTAATTCTCAACCATCTTACGAAAGGCAAGAAATACATCAAGAACATCAGATTTACGTTTTAAAGGGTAATACCACGTATATCGGGTAAAATGATCAACAATGATTAAATAGTACCGAAAACCATCAATGCAGGGTACAGGAGCAGGTCCCCAAACATCCGTATACAGCAAATCAAATGGTCTAGAGCTCGACAAAGAGGAAACAGCAAAAGGGAGTTTATGACTCTTATTGGAAAGACAAGAAGAACAATGACTACTAACGAGAGAGGATGATACTGGCAAGGAATGTGTGCGAAGGAGACTGGTGAGAGAATGAGTGAAGGGGTGGCCAAGGCGGGCGTGCCATGATGAAGAGGATGTACGTGTGGTGATAAGAGACAGACGCACTGTGTCCACATCGCCCGACAACTCATAGACATCCCCATTATTTTCCCCTTTCAGCAGCGGCGCCCCCGTGCGAAGATCCTTCACAACAAAACAATCAGCAAAAAATTCCACCGAAATGGGATTAGTACGACACAGTTTAGCCACAGAGATAAGTTTGCGTTTGATGGCAGGAGCACATAACACATCATTCAATTGTAAAGTGGAATTTTGGAGCGTAGAAGTCCCAATGTGTGTGATTTTCAAACCTGTGCCATCGCCAACAATAATCTCATCAGGACCATTATAGTTCGAATAAAGTGATAAGCTGCCTAGATCAGGAGTGACATGATGCGACGCAGCAGAATCAAGCAACCAGGGAGCCGATGGAGATGCACGAGTAACAGTGGAGTGATTTGCCTGAGCTTGACGAGCTTGATAGGCCTGGCGGGCCTGGGGAAAAAGCTTAAAACACTGGCGTACCGAATGACCAGGACGCTCAAAATATTGACAAACTATAGTGGGCCGACGCTGGGTATTGGAGAGGGCAGAAAAAGACCCGGAATTGGGCTCATGGGCCGGCGGACCAGGGGCTCTTTGGAACCCTTCATGGGCCCGTTGAGATGCTGGGGGCTGGGCCCGCGGGGAAGAGGCAGCCCGCGGAGAAGAGTCACGCCGCTGAGATCGGCTGATAGAGGAGGCACCGTCGGTGATTCTCTGCCCCTGGGAGAAGAAAGTCGTAGGAACGGAGAGCTTCACCTGGGCCTTCAAATCGGATTCGTATTCAACGAGGGAGTCGACCAGGTCCTTGAGAGCTAGACCGGGTCCCCGTGCGCGAATGGCAGCCGCAAAAGCGCCATACTCTTTGCCCAAGCCACGAAGACAGTAAACAATGAGATCAATGTCAGAGACAGGATCATCGATAAGAGCCAGTTCGGCCGCAGTACTCTTCAAATCATTCACAAAAGCCAAGATATCACGATCTCCCTTGAATGTTTTGGCCAATTTGCTTTTGAGATAAATAACCCGAGATTGAGCGTTGCTGGCGTAAAGCTTCTCAAGAATCAGCCACGCAGCTCGAGAGGTAGAGGCAGCAGAAACAAATAAATAGATGGACTCTGAAATCGAGCAACGCAAGGTGTGGAGGATCAGTTTATCCTAGCAAAACCACAGTTGATATGCTGGATTGGGTTTTTCAGCGCCATTTTCTGTGACTGTACGAGCAGGGGCTGCAGCCGTGCGGTCAATGAAGCCAAATATATCAAGGCAAGAAGGAGTGTTTCAAGTTGGGAGCGCCAGGAGGCAAAGTTGGTCGGGGTTAGCTTCAATGGAAGCTGAGCGGCGGGATTAAAGGTCACAATGGTAGGGACTGTGATAGAGGA